GCGTTTAGACGTAAATCTGCGTTTAGACGTAAAACTGCGTTTAGACGTAAATCTGCGTTTAGACGTAAACTGCGCTTAGACGCAATCTGCGCTTAGACGCAAACTGTGTTTAGACGCAAACTGCGCTTAGACGCAAACTGCGCTTAGATACAAACTGAGAATTAGCTTTTGCATCATAATAGTTTTTATTGAACGAACGCAGCTTTTGGTTTTAATCGCTGTAAGATTTCCGCTGCACTAATTCACCCCCCCCCCTCTTAGTGCTCTCGATCCTAACAACACTCTTGCCATCCAATAAGATCCTCAACGAAATGAGACGGCTTGACGACAAAAGCTCCATGGTTGGACCACGTTCCCAACGTGAACGCCAACAAGGGATCTTTCTTTACTACTGTTCTTTCCCATGATTTGGCCAATTCATTGTAATCCGTCATGTCAGTCCACAAGCATTCCAAGAACACACCCTCTCTCTCTCTCTCTCTCTCTCTCTCTCTCTCTGCAGTGCGTGCCTCCTCCGCTCTTCTTCTACAACTCCATTAACTCAGATTTGAAGGAGAGATTTCCGTGTGACAGTAAGAGATGAAGATACAGTGTGATGTTTGCGGCAAAGAGGAGGCTTTGGTGTTCTGCTGCGCGGACGAGGCCGCTCTCTGTGACGCCTGCGACCGCCGGGTGCACTGCGCCAACATCCTCGCCGGCAAGCACCGCCGCTTCTCCCTCGACTCCCCCTCCGTCCGCTCCAATCCCCTCTGCGACGTCTGTCAGGTAGTTCGAGTATCAGAACCGATTCAAGAGGCTCCATAGATTTTTTGAACGCTTTGCTGTAAGATCCATTCCATGGCGTCGTTTCGCGGCCAAAGTTCGAATCTTTACGGGGAAAGAGTTAGAGTTACGGTGGTATGATTTGTAGGAGAAGAGAGCAGTTCTGTTCTGCCGAGAGGACAGAGCGATCCTCTGTGGAGCCTGCGATGCCTCCATACACAGCGCCAACCACCTCACCATGAAGCATAGCAGGTTCCTCCTCACCGGCGTCCGCTTCTCCGCCGCTCCCATCTCGGAACCCGAGCCAGTGACGGCGGCGTATAGCTTCTCCGCCACTGCCATAGTCCCCGCCGCCTCTACGACCTCGGCCACAGCCAACTTCGGCGCCAGTAGCATCTCGGAGTATCTCATCAAGATGTGCCCAGGCTGGCACGTTGAGGACCTACTGGATGATGATGCGGCCGCCAACGTCGCCATGGATGGCTTCTCCAAGGTCCACAGCTACAAATACATCCAGAAAAGGCTCCAAGATCGAATCATCACGAGAGCTAATATATGGTGTGCAGGTGGATGAGTCGCTGCCTTCCCTGGACGCTGATCTGGACGGCGGCGGCGGGCTGGAAACCATCTGCGCGCCACACGTACCTCAGCTTCCTCCACCAGGTCCTCCTGCCGGCGGCGCCGCCCACGACCAGCATCGGCACGGAGGCAACAAGGTAGGAATCAACTTCCGAGAGCGGACCGAGCAGGCGCTCGTGGTGCCTCAGAGCCACCCTATTCCGACTCCCAACAAGAGACGAAGGCGCCCTCTTTGGTCCTGACACTGAGTTAAGTTTGGCTTTGTGCTTTTGGTGTGCATGGGGTTAATCACATATTAGCTTGTAATTAATTATCTTTAATATCTCTATCCTTTCAAAAGTCAGATTGAAATTTTTATATTTATAAAAATAAAATATTTATTATTATTTTTCCTCGTGGAGTTAACTAAAATATCATAAAATTTACCACTAAACAAGTGCTAACCCTGTCTCTCTGCGATTTATCACTGAATACGTATGATATTTTTTACTTTCATAAGTATAAGAATCCAAATATAATTTTTGAAGGGATAAGAAACGAGATACTAAGAATAACTAATTATACGAGATAATATGTAATTAATCGTTTGTCTGTTGAGACTTCTCAACAGCAACTTTGTTTTCGCTACATGTTTTTGGCTTCCTTTGAGGTGAGAAAGGAAAACAACAACAAGAAAAAAAAAAAAGGACATTATTTGTTTGTCATGAGATAACTTGGTCTATCTTTGGGACAGAGTTTCAAGACTCTTCCCTTTTGCAAGGAGAGGATCTTATTGCCCTCTATGAGACCTTGGCTGTTTGAGCTTCGATAGGAAGCCCTTTTCATGGATTTCCATGGAAGCTCAAACAGCCAAGGTCTCATAGAGTGGAATAAGATCT